GTAGCCCAGGCTGGCCTCGAACTCACAGTGATCCGCCTGGCTCTGCCTCCCGAGTGCTGGGATTAAAGGCGTGCGCCACCACCGCCCGGCCTATTTTTATTTTTAAACATTTATTCAGTGATTCTGACATTTGTATGGTTGGAGAATATGTGTTTGAGGATAGTTATGTTAATAAAGATGTTGAAGGATGTTTTCTAGGAAGAGTTCAGTAAAAGGAGTATAGTGTGCTGCCACTTCTCTGCAGAAATGTGTGTGAGATGCAGGTTCCCAGGGGATAAATGTAGAGGAGAGCACACCAGTGAGTGCGTGGTAGCCATCACCAAGTGTTGGGACTGTCGGTGGCCATTTCATGTTTCCTAAGTTTTCTAAAAGTCACATTTTACTTTTCTAATTAATAACAATTTAAAACATGATATATAATGTGGAAAACACAAGTAGCAAAAGATTTTTTTAAAAAAGAGAATCATTTCCAGCAGAGTTTGTCAAAGTGCATTATTTCCTGGCAAAATCTAATGTTGATGATTTGGTTTAGGAAACAATCACTGCCATTTACCCCAAGCTTATCTACGTGTATAATTTAATAATAAATATTTAAATGAAAATTGACTTTAGTAAACAGAATACCAAACAAGGTGAGAAGTCTTAACAGCTTGAGACTGTGAAAGGCAATGTGAACACAGAATCAGTGAGTCTTGAGACCTTGATTTTAGGGAAATGTCCTGTTAGTTTTCTGGGGGCTTCTGTCACACTGTAATCAGTTGATGTCTTGTTTCTAAGTTATTTATTTATTTATTTATTTATTTATTTATTTATTTATTTATTTATTTATTTATTTATTTATTCTCTAAAGATACTTTATTTAGCTAGGAGGTGGGCCAGGAGGATCAGTTCATGGCCATCCTCAGCTATATAGTGAATTCTAGGCCAAGCTACGCTATATGAGAGCTTGTGTCAAAACCATACCCTCTCTCCCCCCAGCAAATCAAAGAGATATCTTCTTTAACATACTGTTAGTTTATTAGCACCAGCTAATCACACTATAATAATGCTTGCATGAAGCTTTATCTAGCACACAGGCTTTCTCTATAAGTCACATCATTAGCCTTCATAAGCTTAGGAACACTGGACAACATTTTAATGTTATAGGTAAGAGCCATTTTAAAGGGCAGAATCATGAACAAAAAGCACAAAAATGCAGGGAATGTGGTATTGGAGAGGTCATGAAAGTGATACAGGTTTACAGTATGTGACTGAAACAAAAGGCAGTGTGTTGCCTTGTTTGACCTTAACTAGGAACATGTGTATTGGACAATTTGAAGTTTTAGAAATTCTACACATAGCTGTGAATGTCTATGGACGAGCTATGAGTATTTATTTTGGAGTTATACTAACTTTTAACAAGTGGTGAATTTGCAAGTACAGAGTTTTGCATAATGAAAATGGGTTGTATCCTTTCCCCTTATGTTCCTGTCTTTAAATGAGATTTCATCAAACTTTTGACCCAGGATAGAAATGTGTGAGCTTGTCCTGTTCTTTATCATCAGATCCACTTGTTCATGTGCCTTCTAAATGCATTTCACATCTGTTTTTCTTCTTCTTCTTCTTCTTCTTCTTCTTCTTCTTCTTCTTCTTCTTCTTCTTCTTCTTCTTCTTCTTCTTCTTCTTCTTCTTCTTCTTCTTCTT